CCCAGTGCCTGTTCCACTGAAACCTGCCTTTCGGGTCAGTGTGCTGGTAAGAGATTAATTTTACACTACAAGAAACACCGAGCAGAGTATTTCAGCTTTGACATATGAGACGTCTGTTACAATATTGCAGTTTTTCTAAATTAAATATTACGAAAAATTAAACCCAATTGTGGTCTGTATTCCTATGGAAAATATTTCTGTTCCAAACAGTCCCTCCACACTAAATGACTTAAGTAACTGAAAACACAATAAATATGCAGCAAGTTAAAAATCCATATTATTCAGGTTTTGAGGCTTATAACTAAAAGTAGTTTAATGTTTCATGCCTAATAATAGATTACTCCTATCACATTTCTAACCTTTATTTCTAGCAGCTTTGAAGTCCAGCCATATAAAGGCTGTTTGTAGAACCACACGAAAGTTAAAGCAAATATTACTCAGAGTGATTCATATGAACAAGAATTTGCAATGAAGGCAGAGGGGTTTTTGTGTCTGTATCAAAGGAAATGAAATGTTTGCAATATTTTCAGTTGATAAATGCATTAAAACATTTTAGTTGTGTAGTATGAACATCGCTGACATAAACAGACTTTGACCTGAAACAGATTGCATCAAGCTCTGTGGGGGAGGCAGCATTAAAAGAAATAAAAATAAAATAAAATAAAAAATAGAAATTCCTAGATTTCAGAATCTACCACAAGGTCACCGCAGTCCTTAATTAGCTGAATACATTAAGAGAAGGCTGGAACACAGATTCCATAAAGAGAGCAAATGTATATTTAATCCTCTGTTCTTTGCTTACAGATTACCCTTTCAGAGCGAGTAACCTTATTTTCTTTTTAATATCTATTTACCTTTTTGAGCTTTGCATAGCAAAGCAGGGTTTCTTTTTTTTTATTTCCTTCCCACTGTTGCAAAAGAAATTAATTTGTTGCTAGTTGCTATGCATTGGCAGGATTTCTGCATAAAGAATGTAAGCCATCTATCTTTGTATTCAAGATATAGTTAATCTGGCAGTTAAAATACTTTGGAAACATTTTGATGACTTATCTGGAAAAGTAGCTTTGCATTTTCAAAGAAAACTCAGAACTGTATTGCAAGGGGAAGATAAAAGATATATGAAGTGTTTGTTCCAAGCGATACTATTCATTTAAAGATCAGAATGTAACCCCACCCAAGCAATTATTGTGGAAAAACAAGACAAAAATCCTTATACAGCTTTCTGACACGGTCTTTATTTGGGAAACAAAATAACTATATTACAGTTATAGTCTAATGGATTGCAAACTGTTTTATTAGAGTCAGCTGAATCCTGTTTAGCATAAAAAAGAACTCTGTTTGCTATCAAGAACACATTTACATTAATATGACTTTGACAAAGTAAAATAAAATCGCATTAAGATGATGTAAGTAGATAAGACAATGAATTCTCTGTGAGATAGTTTTGGCACACCAATTATAGTCAAGTCCCTACAGGAAAGAAACATATTTTTACACCAAGTATCCATGTGTTTTTAAGTCGTAGAGTGGCCAAAATTAATCCCATGCTTAAGATATTTCCAGTCAGGGAAAAGAGAAAGTTTATTATTATTATTATTTTTATTTTTCCCTTGAAAGGTAAAATTTCTGATAAACTACATTTTTATTTGCAATAATACAAACAAGTTTTGTTCTCCGTACTAGCTTGTAATCATCCTGATTATTGCAAGGGACTTTCCAATATAGAGCAGCTGAAAACAAGGTTTTAGATTACATGGTAATTTAGGAATGCATGAAAAGCCAAGTAGTCACCATAATAGAGCACTGCATAAAACTTCATGGCTTTTACAGCAAAACATAACATATGTTTTGTGATTCATTCAAATGATTTTTCAAGTTTTTTGGTCAAAAAATATGTCGACCTCTAGTATTGGTCCTATATTTGGGAGCCTTACTCTCGAAAAACGACGACGACACCCCCCCACACTTTGATGTCTCTCCTTTTAGTTTGGTCATTAAAAGCTCGGCAGTGATGGATGGTGATAATGCTGTGGGTTTTATGAGTAATCAGGCCTTGGCAGCCACAATATTTCTTTTGTAGTGAAACTTTAATATTCCTTTGGCCGTGCATACACTTTTTCTGCTTTCAGAACTACACAGCGCAAGCTACTCACTAAGCATTAAAAAACAGTTATTGCCCAAAAGCTGGTGTTTTATTTAACACCTGACAGAGCAAAGCTTCCCCACCTTGGACACTCAGAGCTGGCATGTAACAACCCTTCTGTGATCAGAGGGCAGGTATATATTCACAGGAGGAGCTCCTGGCAGGGTAGAGGTATTTTTTGGCTACGCCCCAGACAGGGCACCTCACACAGCCCCACTCTCCTCTCCCCCTTTCAACATATTTTTAGTGAACTTGCTGCAACAAACACCAGGTGTCTCCACTTAGCTGGGCTACAGCTTAAAAAAGGGGCCTGCTACCAAAATAATAAAAGAAAAGGGAAAAAAATTAGGGTTGTTCTTTCCATGGCTTCTAATCTGCCTGTTGCAATGCTGCATGTGAGGACGAGGATGTACAGACACGAAATATTCTCATCCCAGGGTCATATTTTATTTTGTCACTCGAGACACCTCTGTCAGGCAAGGCAGGACTTTCCAGAGTTTGAAATAATCCAAATTCAATCACTTTAAAGCTGCTACAATATGCAAGTTCTGGCAGCCGTTTTAAATTAATGGAACATCAGATGTGCTCTGATCCTCTCAATTTCCTTGGGCAAGGGAAATTCTGCTGCGGTGGTAGCGGGAGGGGAAATATAGGGCTATCAGTAAAATAAATGTCAGCTTTTGTCTGCTGATAGAAAAATGCATACAGAAAAAAAAAAACACCAGAGTATTTATTGCTCTGTAATTTAAATCTATTTCTATATGTGGTAAGGATTGTCTTAGTGGTTTGGACAAGTGAGCACCGTGCAGTCTGATCCACAGGAAAGCTCATTAAATTAAGCCAAAATACAAAATTGCTCTTTATTTGGCATTTTACAAATACAGCTCAATATTTTGCTTGTGTGTAGATATTTATTTATTGAGCCTGCTCATGTGTTTATCAATAAAAATACTAGAATGCCCACCTTGAAAGTCCAGTTCCAGGGTATTGATGGGCTTTTGGCAAGAACTTGGGATAGGGGGAGGGGAAGGGGGGGGTGGGAAGGGAGGAAATCTAAAAAAACTCCAAAGCAAGATGCCAGCCCATGGTTTGGAGTTTATTTAGAAAGTGTAAACATTCATCAGGTTTGTCAAAAGGTTTGCAGACTTGAGAACCTTTTGATCAAACCTGGGCTGTGTTTTGAGGATACTTGCCCTGGAATATGGTTTTCAAGATGCAATTCAGTAGCTTTGCTTTTGAAATACAAACAAGCCCAAAAATTCAAATCAAGGCTCTGAATCTTGCATAAAAGCACAAGCTTTTGTGGTGCATGGTTTTTGCTGATCTGTAGGGCTTATCACCCAGGACTATATACTGGCTACAAGGGCCCATGTTTCATAAAGTCTTTGTCCTGAAACAAAAATATAATACAAGCTGTCAGAGTTAAATTGAGGACAAGGTATTTCTCTAATTGTGATTTTTCAGTTATTTGCTTTATACGAGGAGAGCTTGGCTTCTTCTGTGCTAACTGGGACTCACATTGCCAGACAGCATGCTTAAAGTTATTTTTAAAAATGCTGGATTTTGAAGGCTCTTAAATCTTTTGAGGTAAATGAAAATAAAATCATAGTCTGGAACCTAACAGAGACTTTTAATCTTGATCTTAAAAGCATGAATCATACTACAGCATAGAGTAAAGCTATTTTCTGTCCTCTGCACTCACCTTCTCTACACATAGTGATATTTGATATTTATATGTGCCAATTAGAGCTCTCAGGTAGTCCCAGTACCTCCTGCCAAGCTCTGTACACAGTTACCACCTTGCAGTCTATGGCTGAGATTTCTACAGGCTTGCTGCTTTTCTCATTTCAGTATGACATTTCAAGCAAGCCTGATTAAAACTAAGCAAAGCAGAAGCAAAATGTCTCAAATTCCAGGTGTGTAACATTATGGAAACAAAACCTAGATGGATTAGTCTCGGAGCACGAAAACTAATGGCAAGGTAGGGGTGTTGCAATAAAATTATAGAAAAACTTGTCCCACAGCCACCCTGGAAAACCCGGCCATTGTTTTCTACCAGATGTGGGGCAGAGCCCCAGTTCAGCCCCAACACATCCTTGATAGCCCAATCCACTGGCTGGCTGCTCCAGTGGGTCTCAGAAGTGCAGCCACCACACAGATGCCAGGATGAAGGAAGACCAGCTGAAGTTTGTGGGTTTTTATCATATTTTCATACTGTAAAATTCTGACTTAATGCTCACAAATCTGCCAGAAGAGGCGTCCCTTCCCTATGCCTGCCTGGAGCAGGGGTTAGTGGCTGCCAGGATGCTCCCTCGGGATGGGCACTAAGCAGGGGCAACAGGCACCAAACCCCAGGGCCTCTTTCAGTGGTCCCCAAAGGCAGCAGTGAACTCAACTGAGGATGCTCTGACAAGATACTCTGCCAAGCCAACTACCTGGCAGCTGCCAGGGTGCAGCAGCATGGCTGATGGCCCCTGGACACGGTGGGTCCTTCATCCCAGTGGTTTTCCCAATGGAGAGGTGTGGGAAGGGATATGCAGCCTGTCAGCACCCTGTGGGTGAGCAGACACGTGCTCTGGTGGAAAGGGGTACTGAGGCCTTGAGGTATGCCATGGATGTTGTCAGATCAGGCTTCTATTCTCCAGGATCCTGCCCTGTTTTTTATCTCAGAAAAGGCTGTGACCAGCAAGGAATTAATTCCAGTATTTGTTTACAAGTCCTACAGTCTCCTCCTGGTGAGTCTGAAGACAACACAGGGTGCTTCTCACAGCTACACCCACCACCAAATCATGACAGCAAAAACAATTAAGATGGAAATTCATCCTACCTATACGAAACCAGGCACTGAATCCCCATGTGCCTGAATCCTTCTGTATTTGAAACTTTCCATTGCCTCCACTGGAGCTTTAAGGCAAAGAATTTGAAGATTTGTCCCTAAATAAAAAGTACCAAATTAATATAACAGCACGGTGAAGTTTCCATTTACTGCACACAACAGTCAAGCTATTCAGACTTATGGCTCCCACTGCAATTGTAATTCAGTTTCCTTGCTCATACATAATGCTTTTATCTACTCTGAATGGGGTTATCTTTAGTTCCTTAACAAGCCCATATAATTCAGCTGTCACAGTTTCCATAAGAACAATACCTTGGAATTTCCTGCCTTTAATTTGGACTAACTCCTATCTATAAGCATTGCATTAACAATGTTTCCAACTTGTGTGGTGACTATGAAATCAATCATTACGTACATGTTACATATACATTTATAACACTCAAGTGCCATTTGCAGAGGTAACACCTCAAAGTAATGTAAGGATCTTCTCTGGATAAATCCAACAGCCCCAGCTGGGCTGCCTCCTCTGTCTCAGGCTTTGCAGCTGGGATGTTTGCTGTGAAGGAAATTCTCCCACCCAAGCAGGCAGAGAGGACAGATATGAACCTGCTTCAAGTCCTGCCCTACCTTTTCTGCCACGAGGACTTCTCCTGTTGCCTGACCACAGGAAGATGGCAGTCCTTAGGACAGAGATGTCTCCTGGCACGTGCAGCAGCATCCCACCTGCTGCAGAAGTATTGGGAGAGCTCACCCAGACACCCCATTGCACCGAGCTGTGCCCAGCCTGTCAAGAGAGGTTGCTCTGTCTCTACTTGGTGAGGACATTTAGCAGCTGAGCACTGAGGCTTCCCAGTCAGACATCCTATAGCACACTGACAAATGGCTGGTTCTATTTTTTTGCCTCCCCTACTCCAGGCCCATTCATTCAGTTCACTCCTTTTGATCAGACAGACCTAAACCTCAAAACATTGTCCCCTTTTTCCTGAGTGTGTCAGCTGATCTGACAGGAGATGTTACCTTTCCCTAAACCACCTCTCTAGTTTCACCATTTGTTTTGTGGCATGGAAGAACAACTCCAGTTTGACTGTGCTCATACTTGGCAGTTCCCCTGAGCTTCAGGAGACCAATAGCTCTTCACAGAAGTGCAAATTTTATCTCTCCTTTGCCCTCAAACCGCCCTTCCTACAGATCTGTGTGCCAAGCTGTCAAGGAAGGGCATCAGGACACAGCAAAAGGCAAGAAAGATTCAATACATAAAGACCTGAAAAACACCACTTTCTAGGTTTTCTCCCTCAAAAGCACAGGTTCCCAGAGGTCAATATATGGCAGAGTGAAAAGTATATTCATAGGCTAAGCAGCCCAAGAGCGACATTTCTTACGTCCCTTCTCCCCCCGGCTCCACATTTTCTTCTCATACCAAAAGTTTTCTAAAACTTTGCCTATATTTTCAAACTAAGAATGTCCTAATTTGTGGAATAAAGAGAACTGGGGATGAAAAATGAGAATGACATAAGGCTGGGGTGGGTTATCTCCAGCACAGCTGTGGGGGGACTGAGATGCACACAGTGGGAAAGCATGAAATGGCAGGAGCCCAGCTGAGGGGCTCAGGGCTACTTGAGCACACCCAGCACCACACACAGCCTAGAAGAATGTCAGCCTGGAACCCACTGTTGTTATGCTGCTTACAGGGAGCAGCTTTCACTCATTTCTCTATCTCCTGTTCACTTGTGATCAATGATCTTACAGGAAAACAGCATCAATAATGAATAAGTAGCAAAATATGTGCTCTACCTTTGCAGCCCTGCCTATAACAAAGACCATTGGTTGGTCCAAATTACTTCACCTTAGTCATGTTGATTTTTACCAGCTGGGAATCTGGCCTAGGTTTCCTCTGGTTCATGAGGGAAATAAACCATATAGTATCATGGCTGAGTTGATGATGCAGGTAGACCACAATTTCCACAAAACATGGCTGGAAAGAGTGTAAGGTTGTTTGCACTGACCAGATGGCACAAGTGCAGTTTACCAAGTGAGAAAAGATTATCCAGCTACAGAGAGGCTGCTGCTGGCTTGGCTGGGGCTCTGGCACCAACTCGCTGCACGAACCCAAGCTTTCTAAAGAGTCTGTGAGAAGATGAGAATGCTGGTCCAAGGCTGGGCAGGTGCTGCCAGTGACAGAGCAGATGCATATGTTCCCAAGAATACTGAGGGGCAGCCTGGCACTCTGGCTAGGGCTGGAAGCTGCATGGCACATGCACATGCAGCCACAGCTATCATTAGGGCTTTGCTGCTTTGGCACCTCTTCCTAATTTACTTAATTTCTATTTATACCATTCTGTTTCTGTTTTGAGCCTTTATGAGATGCTGACATGTCTTGCGCCGAGCCAAACTTTGGAAGGAGGCTTTGGAAAGAAGTCATTTAAAGTGGGGATAAAAAGTGTCAGAGCACTGGGCCATTCCCGAGCAAAGGGTGGCCCCTGTAAGTGCAAAAAGGCAACCGGACCAGTTCTTAGGACTAGGTCAGTGCTGTCCTGCCTGGAGATGCAGATCCCTGAGGGTTTATGGAATATACTTGTAGAGTCTGTGAAGTTTTCTGGGAAAAAACTAACCTTGTTGACAGCTGAGTCTGAAACTCCATTAGAAAATGGAGGGAGAGGTCTTCAAATCAAGGAAGGCCAAAACCTGCAGCATAAGCATCTCCCAGCTCTGTCTCTGGAGTAGCCATTTATCGTGTCCAACTGATGAGTCCTTTCGAAATAAACCACCTAGTTATTGCAATCACACTGCAAACCATGGGCAGAGGGTGGGGTCCTTCGCCTCCATCTATGACCCAGGGACTCATTTGTCATGGCTTGGCTGAAGGACATATGGAAGGAGCTCCTGAGGAGCAGCTTCTAGACAAAAGCTACACATGCCATGTCCAAAAAGGGCTGATCAACAGTTTTGGTGGTGTCCTAGTTAGGACAGCTGAGATCAGTTCATCATGGTGGGTGTAACCCAAAACTGTATTCTATAGCCTTCCATGTCATTTCCCAGAAACTAGACTATTGTTGTCAATAGACTATTC